GAAAGTTTTCATTTACTTGCTGTGTTTATATTAGAACGAAATCATATATATTTTATAAATGTTTTACGTATTCAAACTATAAAAAAAAAATTATTAAATACTCACTTTCTCAGTACGTTTATTTACAGCTCAGCTGTTGTTTGTTTACATTTTAGATTTAAAATATATGACAAATATATCAAATTTATTGTAGGTAATTTATTTTTAAGAGTTGCATTCGTCATTTTGGGTCTAAGTTTCCTTACTTTATTTTTAAGTAAGTTAAAAAGCATGAAAAAATACATATAAATGTCAAACAAAACACGTACCTGCACGTGTGGAGTTCGTTTTACAATTATTTACGACTGACTCTGTTCATGAAACAAACATGTCAGAATATAGCTTTCCGACTTGGACCTTTGGCAAATCTGAAACGGCCATTTAGTTGGATGTATTGTAGTTGATAAAGATCTTCATAGAAGATGAAGTAGTGAATCACTGGCGTACATGAGCTGTACAAAAACAAACCAGATGAACGGCACTTTCATCGTTCTCCCCACAACTACGAAAGGTATAATTGAATGAGTAGTTTAATCTTCTAGCATGGATTCTAGGTATCCACAATGACCTGTAAGTAAACCTACCACAAGATTAATATCTCTACGGACCATTTCAATGAGAGTATTGTGGTTCCTCTTAGTGGAATGTGGCCAAATTGCCTACAGATGCCTACATATCATTGAGTCGTCCCATCTTTTATTAATAAGTTCTTTCTTATAACTATTATAAGATTATAAATTTTATTATATTATATTTATTTTATTGTATTATAAATTTTTCATGAAGGCAGTATTTTTTTCCTCCACAATGGTGGTTTAGTTAGAGAACGGACTTTGATTTTGCTCCGCTGCTCTATTGAAATCACAATTACAAGATTTAGTTGGTCAGTGCACTGAATTTTTAGAAGATTGAAATCTGTCTGCTTTTTGCCTGAACCATAAAGCATAATAACTTTCAAGTGAAATAATCAAAAAAATCTAATCAAAAGAATATTTCACGTGGCTGAATTTGAATTTTATCTATCTTCCAAAATGAATACTTCTTTTCTACCAAGAAGACACATATTAAAATAAATTGCCACCAATAAGTCAAGGACTTAAATTTCAATTTATTTTTAAATATCTCACCATTAAACTCCTTTTTATATAAAGTATATATTTTTCGTTATTTTCTTATAAAAATTGAACGAGGTTTTTCCTTTTAAGATATTTTTTTTTCCAATTTTTTATTTTTTTTTTTTCTGCACTCAGTTTGACGCCAGTAATTCTTTAGCATTTTATTTCAATTTTTCAATTTTTTATTTTGCATTTTTTAAGTACTTCCCCTTGCATCGTATTTACTGCCTCATCTATTTAATACCATAAATAATTGCATCTAATTAAATATGCTCAAATGAAAATGTCCTTTTTTCTCGCTACGCTAACAGGACTCTCCGCTGCAGTTGACGCGTGATGGAGCGAATGTCATTCGAAATGAAATTCAAGTTTCAATTTAAGCAAAAATACCAAATAAAAAAATGTTTTTATAAAATAGCAAAAACAAAAAAAAAAAAAATAAAAATTAAAGAAAAAATTGAAATGAAAAAAATGTTGAAAGAAAAAAAAAATGGAATTTAATAGTTTTCAATTAGGAATCATTCGTTTGCAGCCTTTATTCTTCTCAAGGCTCAAGGCTTGGAATGGCTTTCTTCCTCCTTGTAGCACTTTCCTCCTGGTTGAAACAAATGTTGAATTGGTCGGTCGGCCTCCTCGCTACTCTTCCAAGTGTCAACAAATGAAGTCACGATTTTGTCGCCTCCAGGACGGCAATGGTGTGACACTTCAGTATTTCTATGCTCATTTAGTTCATCGTAAATTTTATTTTATTTTAATTTCATTGCAATTTTCTGTCCTGTTTTTTTTCCGCTGATGCTTTTTTTATATCCTTAGAGTGTTTATTTACAAAAATTCCTTATTGAAATGCAAGGCTAAATTTGTCACGTGACATTCATTTAGAATTTTTTTCATATATTTTTAAGCATTTCTTACATTTTTCTCTGGCAATAGAAAATAATATATACGTAAACAAGCTCAAATGCTAAATGAGAATGAAATGAGGAAAAAGGTGTTCTGGAGAAAAGAGTGTTAATGACAATTGTTAACTTGATTATAAGTTTGAAGTCATTTTTCCTTATTCCTTGAGATAGATCATCAAATAGATAAAGAAGGAAAGTAATTATGATAGTTGTTCGAAATGAAAATAGTTCATTCCATTAATTATTTCAAATTAGAAAAACAAATAACTAGCGTTTAATGAAATAAGAGATTTTATAGTTCTAAAAAACCTGGCTGTACTAGACAGAAAGTGTGCCTTAGTTACACGTGCGAAACATCTGAAATATATATTACTATTAGCTGATAAGAGAGGTATCAAAATACCGGTCTTAAATAAAAAAATATACCGACCTTATTAAGATGCGATATTAAATTAATTTATAACATCCGTTTTGGCGAAAGAAACTAAATTCTAAATACAGTAAGGGGGGATTACTGTACCCTTAGAATGCGTTTTCATTTTACTCGATTTTAATTCCTCGTATAACACGAGGATTCCCCCATATAACGCAGGGATTTGTATAGTTCATAATTAACTTCGCGTATCTTTGCAGGTGTGTATACGGGGTATACGGAAATACCTCTATAATGGGGGATTACCGTATAAACTATTCTTTGCAGTATATACGTTTTTATCGAACTTTAGTGAATAGCGAATAAAAGTGTCAGTGTTATTGTTGTTTACTGATGAGTCACTAACAGTTAGAAAACCTTGCAAGAAACATAAATTTTCTCTTCAATAAATTTTACCACAATTGTGTGGTAAACAAAGATCAAAGTTAACTTTAAGACCATCTTTTAACCCATCTTAAGCTTCATAGAAGAGCTTTAAACGCTCTGAGTTTCATACTTTAACATAGTGGACCAACTGTTCCAGGTGGATAAGTAGAAACACTGTATTAGTCACCCAATCTTTGAGTTTTTAATTGACCAAATAATCCATGAGGATCAATGGAATTACTATTATAACATACATCCCTATCTGAGAGTTCTTTATTTAATTCATTTTCCTAATCATAGAACAACTTGTTGAGTAGTTGAACAGTTTGATGGGAACTTTTAAAACGGAAATTAGTATTCTCCCACAACTCAACACAAATAAATTAGTGCCACTTGATGTGATAGTGATATTTAAATTAAAGGTAAGATGTCATACCATTTATCCTTCTATTTATTGCTTACAACATGCAATTTTAAACTATGTCCCACCATAGCTCTAAACATTATACTTCATAAACACCGCAAAAGGTTTCCGGTATGCAACACCAGATGGGTTAAATCCCGATGATGTAAAGTCATCCTATGCGTAATGATTTTACATCTTTCCAATGATAAATAAAAAATCAGTTGGGAATTTATAAATTTGAGTACTTTATACTGAATATTCGTATCCAATTGGCTGTATCTGTACCTTCTCTCTATTAGTAATCCATGATCCATATTCAAATAAATGGAAGTTTCATTTTCAACTCTGTGTTTAATCTCACTAATAATACTATTTATTTTTAAGGTGATTAAGTGATTCGATATTTTTTTAATCGGTAATTCGATAATTTTTTTAAAGTGATTCGATAAGTATCAAATTTCTAGCAACTTAGATGAGTGCAGGGTCATCTGAAGGTGCGGTCATTTTAATCCCATCTCCTAATTCTCATTAGCTTGAAAATATCTTATTAACAAATTAGAATTTATAAAATCGACAATTTATTAAAAATTAGTTAAATAAAATTAGTTAGATTAAATTTAGTGAGACTCTTATTTGATCCATGTATAGTTGGTTGATAGAAGTGACTGGTCAACAGATACCATTCCGCCTACCATAATAAGCAGTTATTTGCAGTTTAAAAGTACGTTTTATCACACGAAACGTAATAAATAAACTAGATCCTTTCAGTTGAGTTTATGGATTGCAGTTAAACAGATCTTTTGCTCTTATTGATAGACAGTCTAACAGATATTCATAAAACACTTCATTGAAAATCTTTTGCTTCTGTTAGTCGACGTTGTGTAGTCACCGGGAAAATGTGTTATTGTCTTCTTCGTTTCCATAACTTCTACAATGTATGTTAAATTGAAGTCGAACTTTTTCTGCATGATT